AGTCAGGGGCCAGGTGTCTGTCTCCGTAGTGGACCTGGCCGCCGTGGCTACCCTAGAAATCAAAGGGGCTGCAGGAGGAGGGGGAGTGGGCTCTTGGGCTCTGCACCCCGGACCCCGGTCGCCCCCTCCCGGGTCCCCGCTCCTCCGAGAGGGCGGAGGCCGCGCTCGGGTGCAGTGGGCACGGTCGGGGGCTGCTGAGCTAGTGGTGTTCGAGAACACTCTGAATGCTGGCGACAGCCCGGCAGGTTATCGGAAGTGAGGTTGGAGCGTGGTTCTGAGCAGGCGCAGATGTTCCCATACCAAAGCCGAATGATGCAAAGGTTCTGCAGAACTGGGGCCCGTCCTCATCAGCTGCAGGCTAATTTGGACCTTTTGTATAGGGCGAGGGACAGTACCGCCTTCCGGCTCCTTCCCTTCTTCATGTCTTTATGCCAAGCCAGCTTTGCCCTCTGCTCGGGTAATTTGAGATGGTGGAGGAGGAGATTTGAAGTCAGGATTCTGAGTTTCACTGTCCACGTTAGAAACATAGAGTGCTCAGTGCAGCACGAGGAACACATAGCTTGCAAGCTCATGGGCGGGAACCCCGAGCCCAAGCCGGTGCCACAGGTTTCTGACCCTGGGGAACTGCAGCATTCCGAGGAGGTCAGAGCAGGAGGTCCGAGGTCCAGGCTCTTCTCATTCTGTTTAGTATTAAAATTAAGTATCATGGGTTCATATACGTCATTAAGAACTTGTGTGGTGGTGAGTGTCTAATCCCAGCACTCAGGAGGCTGAGGCAGAGGACTGCCTTGAGTTTGAGGCCAGCCTGGACTACATAGCAAGACCCTGTCAAAAACAAAACCAAAACTTCTCTCGGCACAGAACTTCAGTTGGTGTAAGGATTTACTGCTTGTATTTGGGAAGAGTCGGTGGTTCTTAGTGCTATAAATAGGGAGTTGGCTGTGAGTCATTTAAGGAACTTGGCTTACTCAGCATAAATCTGACGTAAGGAGTGTCCCCAATTTGGCTTCATTTCGGGGCTCCCTGTCCGCAGCCATGGCTTCCAGGCTGGCGTGGAGCTCAGGGCTAGAGGGGTGCTTGTGCTTGTGACCCTGGGTTTTGTCCCTGGCACCACACAGAAAATCAGCGCAGCGGGTAGTCTAGTATGAAGTTACAGTAAAGGAGCGCGGAGATGTCCCCGGCAGGCAGGTCCTGCCGAGCGGAAACATGCAGAACCTCGGGATGGGTGGGGGTGTGGGCCGCTGCGAACTGCCCTGATTTATGCGATGCACGGTGTCAGGAGTTACAAGATACGCGGCTGCTGCACCTGCCACTTGGAAAACGGAACTGTAGATTAAGTAAGCGGAATGCATTCACCGGGCTTACGCACACATATGGCTTGTGCGTGTGTGTGCCTACAGGGCTTTATGGTCACACTAAAATTCACCGTGCCGTCTCTGTACACACGTGCAAAGGAAACAAAGACCACTTTGGCTCTCTGCCATACAACTGGACCTCCAAAGTGCAGACGGCTGTGCTGGTGGGAAAGGCCGTGGGTGTGTGTGGTTCTCCAGTGCTGACAGTGGGGGACACAGGCATGGAGGGGCTTGGCCGAATTTCTCGTTTCCTGGACTCCTCACAGCTGGGGTGGGGATGGGGCAGCCCTGTGGATGCCCTTGGCACTTGGCAGGGTTCCGGCCTCGGTACGGTCCTGACTGCCGTCAAGCAGGCCCACAGGTGTGGATGCCCTCCTTGGCTGTTGTGAGCCCCATAAGGAGTCTCCTCCTTGCGTCCTGGCTGAGTCCATCTTGCTGCTGCACGGCTGCCAGATCGTCTTGGCCCTCGGGAGCAAGGTGGCCGGTGCTGTCCGGACACAGCACACCTGTGACCCCAGAGGAGCCTGGAGCATCGCGAGTTTGAGCACAGCCCGCGCCACTTAGAGACTTAGCCAGACCATCTCTCAATAAAAAAGGGCTGGGGGCCGTAGCTCAGTGTGGAGCCCTGGGTTCAGTCCCAGGGGTGAATATAAAGCAGAGAACCCGCTGGGCTCCCTGGGTGCATTCCCCGGGACCAGGAGCGCAGGCGCTGGGCCTGATAGCAGCACTTTGAACGCGTCACGTTGTTCCTTAGCGTTGGTATCTCTAGGAAGAAGACAAAGACCAGGTTTTTGCCTGTCCACTACAAAGTTCTCTTTCTCCCTCGGAGCCAGGACGTTAGAGTGAAAGCTGTGCTTGTTGGCATTGGCACTGCCAGACCAGGGCTCCTGGAAGACTCCTTGCGCCATGACTGAGGGAAAGTGGCGGCTCCCTCCCTACCTCCGCGTGAGGCCCAGCCTGGGCTCGGTCGGTTGGATTCTGTCTTTTCTCTGGGGTCAGAGTGTCCAGCACGCCGTGGTCTTTGGCCTTGGGGTGGCTCTCAGGTGGCTCTTGCTGCGGTCGGGAGGGTCTCACCTGCTTGCCCGGGGAGCTGGGGACTGGGGACTGGGGACTGGAGCGGCTGGCCACACACAAAGGCGGGAGCAGTTCTGACCTGGCCCTCCACAGCTCCAGGGATCTGAATCCTTTACCCCCTGTCCACGCTGGGTGACTGCGTGGGAAGGGCTGAGCCAGAAGCCATGCCTGTGCTGCGGCCCTGTTCTCACTGTTTGTTTGGACGGCGTCTGGGGTGTTGGCACCGGCTGCTCTGTGGAACTGAAAAGCTACAGGAGCCCGCCCTGAGAGGGAGAGGAGCTTGCCTTGGAGACGGAGAGGTCTGAGGTGAGGCCCCGTGAGGGTGGCGTGAGCCGGCAAGGTGGTGTGCTCCACCCTCCTGGCTCTGGGAAGCTGAAGCAGGAGGGTCGCAGGCCAAGCCCAGCCTGGGCAACTTTGTGACTCGGGGAGACCATGTCGCAAAAGTAAAAGATGAAAAAGTGGCTGGGCTGTAGCTCAGAGCAGAGGCCCTGGGTTCCATCCCCGGCACTGACAGAAAAATAGGAGAAGCCTAGGAACGATTCGGAAACAGCAGATCACTGGAATCTTGGTGCTGACTGGGAGCAAAGCTGTGAAACCCTCATTAACCAGAGTGCAGAGGTGGGGCACAGAGGGAGGGAGGGAGGTTTGGTCTCTTCCTTCTTGCTGGGGTTTTCTGGTCCACACCCAGCACCTAGTGAGCCCAGCAGCCTCAGGAAGTGTTGGGTACCCTGTGAGTGGCAGTTGCTCTAGCACCTGGGATCCCAACGACCAGGATTCTGATTGGCTGAAAGGCCACCCTATTCAACATCCCAGCCAATGAGGAAAGCCAGTTGCTGAAGCTGGTCTTTTGAAAGTTTTTAAACACTGAGTGTTGGGTTCTTGTCTTTGCCTTCTTGCTGGACTTTTAGAAGACTGGAGAACAGTGGGCAGCAGCTCCCTGGGTGCCTGCACCCCCTATGCACTGACCCCCTGAGCACTGGCTTCTCCCTCAGTCCACTCCTGTCTCTCCCCCCCTTTCTCCGGTGCTGGGATGTGGAAGTTACTTAAAGGTCGTTCCAGGTAGTCTTTCGAACTGTGTGAATTGGAGCAGAAGGAGCAGGCCGTCCCAGTGCGCCCTTCATATTATTGGAATCATAATTTAAAGCCAGGTGTGGTGGCGTACACCTGTGATCCCAGCCCAGGAGGCTGAGGCAGGAGGGTTGCCACAAGTTCAAGGCCAGCCTGGGCTGCAGAGGGAGACGGACTCAAAAAAACAAAACAAAAAAATTCCACCCAAAGTACTTTCTTCCCCAGCCAGATAAGTGTGGCAGGAGGGGCGAGGTTGAGGCCTTTGGGGATAATGGGGTGAGGGGTGGCTCCAGGTTGATGCTGAGATTGTGACTGAGGTGTGGGGGAGCAAGTTGTCAGCTGGGGGGTGGACTTGCTCTTCCTCTGGTGGCCTTTGGGGGCACACCGGACACCGTCCCCAAGCTTTGGCCCCAGTTTGTGGCCTGTCCCGCAGTTCTAGGTTTGGGAGGTGCCAGTGTCCCCTGGGGAGCTTCGAGGTGCTGAGGAGGAGGGTTCCAAGGGACCCGCATGTGCCTTGGGGCATCAGGGGTTGCCGAGGTGGGTCTGGGCGGTCTGCAGGCCCGGCCAGTGGGGCTGAAGGCTGAAGGTTCAGCCCCGCCCACCACCCTGTGCCTCCCTACACCCTTGGGTTCGGCAGGCACGGCCCCAGCGTCTGTCCACCCTGGGGCGTGAGGTGAGCAGGGAGCCATCTGCCTGCAGGGGGCAGGTGGCCTGGCCTTACACTGACCCTGGGACGCTCGCTGGTGCCTCCGTCCCAGGTCGAAAGCTCAAAGGCAAGGAGGGGAACGTGGGAGCCGGACAGGAGCCAAGCGGGGCTGCCGTCCTGTGTTGGGTTGTGCAGGTCAGAGCGACGGATGGCGGGGATGCGCCAGCCAGTGGGGCAGAGGTCTGGACCGTGGGACGAGGAGGAATCTACTCTGAGCCCGGCCAGTGGCCCGAGGATTCTGAGGGGCGGAGGCATTCTCAGGGCAGCACCAGTAGGAGGTTGGCTGGACAAAGGGAGCCGTGGCAGGGCGCGGCGGCGACGTTGTAGTAAACAGAGTGGGCGTGCGAGGGGCGCGCGAAGCGTGCTGCCAAGAGCCGGAGAGGGAAAGGAGGCCCTTCCAGAGGGCGCCTCTGCCCTAACAGCAAATCTTCCTGTCCTCGGTTGTCATTTTACCAGACGTGCTTTTTACTACATTTCTCGGACAGTAGGCTATATGGAGAGAGTGCAAAACACAAAACCCGAACTTGCCCAGGTGGGGCATCTCCTAAAACATTATTAATGCTGTTCAAAGAGCTTAAGTCTACTTCAAAAATGTTGGAGGGGCCGGGGATTTGGCTCAGTGGTTCCGGCGCCTGCTTCACGAGCACAAGTTCCTAAGTTCGATCCCCGGTACCAAAAAAAAAAATACATATATATATATTCGAACCAGATACTCAGAATGAAAACAGGGTGTTATCTTTTGTTTTGTCCTGCAGCAATCTAAACCAGGGGCAGTGGCACACAGATACAGCTTCTTAGGAGGCTGAGGCAGGAGGATCTCAGGTTTGAGAACAGCCTGAGCCACATGGAAGAGCCTGTCTCTAAATAACCAAAAGCAGTAAGTCGATCTAAGCTACGTTTCCTGGGCTGCAGTGTCGCGGAGTAGTGAAACTGTGCTGGTCCTTCTGCAGTGAACTTGTCCCTTCCTCCCTCTGAAATAAATCTTTTTTTTGGCGGGGGGTACTGGGATCAAACTCAGGACCTTGTACTTACAATGCAGGGGAAATGCCACTGAGCTAAATCCCCAGCCCCTCTGAAAAAAATTTTTGGCGAGGGTGGGGTTTGAGACAGGGTCTCACTATGTAGTTGAGACTGACCTGGAACTCACTACATAGCCAAGGCTGGACTCGAACTCACAGCGACCCTCCTGCCTCAGCCTCCCAAGTGCTGGGCTTACAGGCGTGCACCACCACGCCCTGAAATAAATCTTAATGTGGACAGCTTGGTGAAGCATTTCATCTCTAAATTGTTTGGGGTTTTTATAATATTTATTTTTCCCTTCCCCCCTTTGCCCTGGGTATGGAACCTGGGACCTCCCGTGGGCTAAACAAGCACTCCGCCACTGAGGCAGCTGTTTTTGCTGGTTTTCGCTTTGTTTGTAATTTTAGCTTTGAGATAGGGTCTTGCTGAGTTGCCTAGCCTGGTTTTGAACTGGTGATCCTCCTTCGTCGGCCTCCTGGTAGCTGGGGTTGCAGGCGAGTGCCACAGCCTGACTCTCGGTGTTGTAGCAGCTGCACCTGTGCTGTCGGGTAGCCCAGAGCGTCCTAGACGCTCCCACCCGCATCTGTCTCAGTGGAGCTGGCTGGTTTACCACTGCTTACTGAAAAGCTGGGCTGGTTGTCCTGAGGCAGAGCCTTGCGAGTGTTCAGCCTGGAAGTGTTTTGAGGGAAATGGATTTTCCAGCCCGCTTATTTAGGGTCGCTGCAACATCAGCGATGGTGCTTCGGAGCCTGAGCTATGTGGGGTGGCTGTGCTCACACCTGGCTGCCTGGCCAGGTCCCACGGGAGTCCTGCTGCGCCCTGGGGTTCCGGCCCTCTTGTGGCTCCTGGCCGGAGACTAGGAGCAGTGTGGAGGAGCAGGCTGCTTAGCCTTGGTTTCTGGACTGGCCCGGCGGGTTCTGAATGCAAACACGTTTCCAGACAGCCCAGGGCAAACCTGCACCCCTGCCCACAAAGGGGACCCTCCGGCGGCTGGCTCACGGAACCTGAAGCTGCTGGTTAGGGTTAGGGTGGACTCGCTCCCCACATCGAGTGGGGAGCTGGGGAGGAGCTCAGTTTTGGTCTAAAAATCCTGACACTGGCAGGATCTGGGGCCCGGGCTGTTGGGCAGTTGTGCGCCAGGCGCCCTGGTGCGCCCCACACGGTTGGCAGTTTGTTTCCCTGCTCTGCAGTGCTGGAGGTCACACCGAGGGCCTCCCCGCAGCACCTGTACAGGTACTGTGTTAGTTAAAATCAAGCCAGGCGTGGTGCGCACACCTGCAATCCCAGCAGCTCGGGAGGCTGAGGCGGGATGATCACAAGTTCAGAGCCACCCTGGGCAACTTAGCAAGACCACGATCTCAAAGTAAAAATTTTAAAAGGGTTGGGGATGCAGCCCAGCCATGGAGCCCTTTGTGTGTGTGTGTGTGTGTGTGTGTGTGTGTGTGTGTGTGTGTGCACACGCACGAGGCGGTAGGTTCTCCCGGTGTGGGTGAGCAGGATGGAGCTCGGAGGTCGGTGAGCGCGCAGTCATGCGCCCCAGACCATGGCCTTGCGTGACAGGGGCTGTGCCAGTGACGGCACCTCCCTGAAATGCACCGTCAGCGCTGCAGCTCTGAGGCCACGCGAGGAGCCGAGTCCTCTGGGAGTCCTCTGTCCTGCTGGTCCAGGCCGCCTGTGCCCTGGGCTTGTTCCTGGCGCGGCCTGGCGCGGTGTAACCCTCACGGCTTGGGCCCTGGGCCGTGCAGTGTGGGAGGCTGGGCCAGGGCGCTCCACGGTGGGGTGGGACCTGGAGGACGCGCACCATGTGGCCATTGTTGAGGCAGCTGTCCGCCGGCCGCGCCCCCTGGAAACGAGCCCTTTTCATGGGGGGCCGTGTGGGCACTGCTGCTGCATCGCCACCCTGCGTGCGCGGGTAGCGCCCTGAGGAGGCCAACACAGCCCCGTTGTTCCCTGCGGTGCGCCGGCCCACATTGCTCGCTTTGTTTGGCTCCTGAAAGGAACCCACTTCGCCATTTACTAAAGGAGATGCGTGCTTGGGGAGGTGAAGCCCGGGGCCCTGGGTCACCTCCTGCAGGCCCGAGCCCTGCCCCTGTGCCACTCTCCAGATGGTGGCTGCACCTTGGTTTGGAGGAGTCACCTCCCTGTCAGCGGCACAAGGGGAGGGTGCGCCTGCTCTGGGCTGAGCGGGTGGTCTGTCCTGACCTGGCTGGGGCGAGCAGGTCTGGCCGAGCCCCGGGGAGCCTGGGTGTGCCAGGCTGGTCTGCCCCTTAAAACCCCTCAGATTGAGCAGTGTCTCCGCAGTCATCTCGGTAAACCTGTCGTCATCCCTGCCCGGTGGGAGAGTGCTTTGGCTGCCTTGGGTGGAGGTCACTGGTTCGGTTTCCCGCACTCTAGTTGTTGTGGCTACTTTGAGCCTAGCCTGACGGAGGTCGGGTAGTGGGTGCCGTGGGCTGAGGGCCTGGGAGGCCAGGCCTCCTCACAGCGCAGCCCTGTCCCTGCTGCCACTCATCTTGGCTCCGTCTGCTCCTTTGCCACCTGCTTCTGCACAGCTTGTCCTTCCAGAGGTAGACACCCGAGCCCTTCCGGGTGCTGGGTCATTAAAACTCTTCAGGGCAAGATGCACTTTGCGTGGGGAGTCACTGTTCATTCCCTGCCTGTAACGAGGTTTCCTGGAAGTTTCTAAAAGAGGCAGCAGTTGTGATGCACTGAGAAGGAAAAGGTAGAAAAATTCATTTGTTGCAGAATGTGATGATATACACCCATGATCCCAGCACTCTGGGAGGCTGAGGCAGGAGGATCTTAAGATCCAGCACAGCCTGTGCAACTTAGCAAGATCCTGACTCAAAAAATTTAAAAAAGAGCCAGGATGTAGCTCAGTGCAGAGGCTCTGGGTTCTACTCCTGCATGTACAGGGACAGAGAATTTTCAGCTGCCGCGTGGGGAGCGCACCTGCAACCCCAGCTATCTGGGTGGCTGATTCAAGAGAGCTGCAGGATTCAGGCCAGGCTGGCAGGTTAGCAAGACCCTGTCTGGAAATTTTTACAAAGGGCTAGAGATGCATCTCAGAGCTAAGCGCTTGCTGGCCGCAATGCCTGAGGCCAGTGTCACACACGTGGCAAGCCCCGGGTCTGGCCCCCAGCACCCCGTGTGGTTGTCCGGGCCGTCCCCATGTCCCTGGCACAGTGGCCGAGCCACGCAGGCCGGGCAGTGTGACGACGGGGCCTCCGTTGCGCCTCCTGCCCTGGTGCCGGTAACTTGCCTCCATCTCTTTCCTCTCAGGGAAGCAGAGTCCTTCAAGGAACAAGGAAATGCTTATTATGCCAAGAAAGATTACCACGAGGCCTACAACTACTACACGAAGGCCATAGGTAAGGGGCCGGTGCGGCGGACGGTGCGAGCAGCTCCGTGAGGGAGCCCTGCGTCTCTGGCGGCTCCTGGAGCTCTCCCCGGTGACTCGTGGACTTGTCCTGGAAGATGGCCTTGTAGCCAGGCCTGGTGGCGCAGGCTGTAACCCCTGGGAAGCACTCTGGGAAGCTGAGGCAGGAGGGGCTAGGGATTGTAGTTCGGTGCATTGGCTCCGGGTTCAATTCCCAGTGTTGGGGAAAAACATAGCAGGAATGCAAATGGCCTCTGTCCACACAGCCAGGTCCCCTGGTCCCCATGCTTCACCTACCCGCTGAACACACTGCCCTCCGTGCTGCTCCCTCGTGGCCCGCAGGCCAGGCCGTCGCGCAGAGTGCTTTGGGAGAGCGGCTGCGCTCTGACCCGGGTGCCCGATGCTTCTGTGGTGCTGCGTGGCTTGGGCTTCCGCTCTGAGCCGCCCAGCCCGGCTGTGCTTGAAGCTGGTTTGCTGAGCCCACTGTGGTCTTGCGGGTGCCCGGGATTGAGTTCAGGGCGCTATAGCTGTACCTGGTCTTCTCTCAGAATTGCTTGTTTCGTGGCTGATGTCGTGTGCACAGGTAGGACCATTTGGCCATGGCCTTCTAGAGAGCAGTCTGCACTCCTTTTTCCTCTTTGCTATTTTTTTAGACATTCTCTCGCAGAGTACTCTAAACTGGCCTCAAGTCCGTGATCCTCCTGCCTTAGCCTCCCCAGTGCTAGGATTGCTGGTGCACACCACTGTATCTGACCTTTGTTGTTGTCTGCTCTGCTCGTGGTACTGGGATGTAGCCCAGGAGCCTGAAGGCCCGACAAGCGCTCCATTCCCTCACTGGGTTGCAGTCAGGACCTGAGCTGCCCTGAACCCCTCTCTCTGCCTCCCTGTAGATATGCGTCCCAAAAACGCAAGCTACTACGGGAACCGGGCGGCCACGCTGATGATGCTGGGCCGGTTCCGAGAGGCACTGGCGGACGCGCAGCAGTCTGTGCGGCTGGACGACGGCTTCGTGAGGGTGCGTCTGGGCATTTACCCTGCGTGCGGTGGCGGGATCAACCAAGGGCGCCACGCCAGGACTGAGGCCTGCTGGCCCCTGGTGGCCCTGCTGGTTTTGGTTTTGCGGGGCTTCAATGCCGCTGCTGACTTCTGTCTGTCCCACCGCTCAACGGTGCTCTCTCTCCTGCCACTGTCTCTAGGGACATCTGCGAGAGGGCAAGTGCCACCTCTCCCTGGGGAATGCCATGGCAGCGTGTCGCAGCTTCCAGAGAGCTTTGGAACTGGACCACAGAAACACTCAGGCGCAGCAGGAGGTGCGGTCCCTGCGTGTCACACGTGTGCGGGTTTAGAAGTGAGGGGCGCCGGCGGGGCCCTGCCCAGGGGTCTGAACGGAGATGCCTCCACCCCCGCCCACCTGTTATCACATTGGTTTCTGGCCTTAGAAGCTGTGACTGTGGTCAGTGGACCGCGGTGCAGCCTGTAATCGCGGCGCTCTGGGAATGTGGCGGCACAGTCCCACATGGAATCCCAGCCTGGCCACGGCACAAGATCCTGTCTCGTGGGGAAGAGGGCAGGGCTGGAGCTCAGTGGGGCGCTGGGTCCATCCCAGGACCTGTGCGAGGTTGTGGAGGACGGGAGGCAGGAGCAGCTGTGCTGACTACAAATGGCCTGGACGGAGCTCCAGGACAGCTTGGGGTCCCCCGGGCCCGCCTGACCCACTCAGTGCCTGCAGCAGATCGCCCTGCGTGGATTGAGCAGTGGATGGAGACCCAGCCTCTCCCTGGCGGTAACACGCCACGGGTGCTGGAGCCCAGGCCCAGGGCTGTGGCCAGTGATGCTCACTGCGGCTCCGTCAAGGAAGCGTACCAGCCTGGTTGGCCAGAGTCGCCTCCTTTATTTCTTTAATTTTGGGGGTGCTAAAGACATGATTTTCTTGAAAGAGCAGTCATTGAGGCTTGTTGGTTTTTATGATTATTAAATCTCTGACTTCACTAAAAATTTCCACCTATTTGATTTTTCCGTATAGTTCAAGAATGCTAATGCGGTTATGGAATATGAGAAAATAGCAGAGACGGATTTTGAGAAGCGAGATTTTCGGAAGGTAAAGTACAACTATGAGGAGATCATCTGTCCTTTCTTGCAGAGTGCAGGGTGGGCTGTGTGTGCATGCGTGTGTGTGACCAAGGTCAGCATTGTGGTACAGAAGAGCTAGAATAGTAAATTCTTCCTTGAAATTTACTTTAATAGTAAATTGGGCCTTTTGCTTTCATCTTCAAAAATCTTGGGCTGGGGATTTAGCTCGGTGGTTCTTCTTCTGCCTGCCTTGCAAGCGCAACATCCCAAATTCAATCCCAGGTACCCGCCCCCCAAATCTTTTCTTTCCCAAGCATTCTGGGAGGCTGAGGCAGGAGGATTGAAAGTACTCACCCAGCCTGGGCAGATTAGGTACTTCATGAGATTTTCTCTCAGAAAATAAAGGGTCACGGATACAGCTCAGTAGTGCTGCCTGCCTTGTAAGCACCAGGTGCGGAGCTCAATCCCCATTACTCCCCCCTCCACCAGAAAAAAAAATGAAAGGGCTGAGGATGTGTCTCAGTGCAAAAGCCCTGTGTTCAGTGACAGTACCCTAGGAAGAAACAGAAGGTTTGTTTGTTTTTGCTGGTACAGTAATTTGCTTACATATATATGGCTTTATGATAAAAAGCCAAGTGAGTTGTTTGTTGGCTTTGTTCCTGTGGCTGCTGTGTAAAGTCTGTCCCAGAAGTGTGCTGCTTACTAAGGGAAAGCCAGTTGGAATTAAATATTGGGTTCAAGTAATCTATTTTTACTGGGATGAAGACAGTTGATTTTAACCTGTTTATGTGCCCTATAAATCAAAAGTTGGAGCCAGGCATGGTGGCAGATTCACAATCCCAGCATCCTGGTAGGCTGAGACAGGAGGATCAAAAGTTCAAGGTCTGTCTTACAAGCATGAGGTCCCGAGTTCAGTTCCTGGTACCCAAAACCAAAAACAAACACAAAATAGAATCTCTAGTTTAGGCCTAGTATTTAGCTCAGTGGTTCCACCGCCTGCCTTAAAAGTGCAAGGTCCCAAATTTGATCCCCAGTTTAAAAAAAAAAAAAGAAGAAAGTAAGTTCAAGTCAAGGCTGGGCAAGTGGCATGCACCTTGTCATCCCAGCACTCAGGAGGCTGAGGCAGGAGGATCGCTACAAGTTCCAGGCCACTCTGGGCTACATAGTAAGTTCAAGACCAACCTGGACTACTTGGTGAGACCTTGTCTCAAAAACCAAAACAAAATCATTCTTAACTCATGCACTGCTCAAGGCCCTTTATGTGGTGGTAAATTACTTGGTCAGCTCACGTAGTCCCAGGATTGACTCCTCCACCCCTCTCCTGTCCATCAGTTTAGTAAGCAGTGTCTATGGTGTTCATGGAGAGGACTCTGCCTCCTGGCACGTTTCAGAGGTCACACAGGCTGGAGCTTTGTCCCGAAAGGCGGCTCTGCGTCTTCCCCTGCCCATCCCGGGTCCAGACCCCAAGTCTGTGACAGAGCCTTCTGTCTGCGACAGCCCAGCCGCCCCGTTGTGGTCACGGTGATGTCACAAATGAAGAATTATAGTCCCGGTAGGGAACAGATGAACTTGAGAGAAACAAAGATCTCCTTTGCCTGCAGCTGTCCTTTGGGGGGCTGGGGGGAGCCCTGGGCACCAGCGACCAGGCCCACTCACCCTCAGGACAAAACTGCCCAGCACTTTGTCCAGGGGCCCCACGTGTCTCAGTGAGTCCTGCTTCTGCCTCACCAACTGTGTCAGTCTCGGCCTTAGTTTCCTCATCACTGAAACAAAGGGACCTAGGAAAGTGTTGGGAGGGTTAGATGGGTCCGTGAAGTGCTCAGTAAACATTGGCCGTTGCCGGGCCGAGTACTGGGCAGGCAGCTGTGGCTCGCAGTACAGTGCTTGCTTCAGGAGGCCCATGGCCCTGAGTCCAGTACCCAGCACTGCCCAAAAAGACTTCGGCACTCTCCTGCTCAGCAGTGGGCCCAGAACTTCTCTGAGCCTCGTGTGGCCTAGAGAAGGCGCAGACACTTCTGGGGTTCGGGACCAGAACCTAGTCCGCTGTCCTTTCCACAGGTGGTTTTCTGCATGGACCGGGCCCTGGAGTTCGCCCCTGCCTGCCACCGCTTCAAGATCCTCAAAGCAGAGTGCCTGGCGATGCTGGGCCGCTACCCAGAGGCACAGTCTGTGGCCAGGTGAGCGCCAGGCCATGCCAGACTGCAGGACCGTCTGCCTGTCTTCCTGCTACTTGGGAGGCCAAGATGGAGGACTGGCCAGGGTGCAGCCTTCTGCAGGCCCTCCAGCCGGGTGGGGACCGGGTTGTATTGCTGTTTGAGTTGTGCTGTGCTGCAGCCCTTCACTCTGCTTTCGGGCGGTGGGGGCGGTGGGAGGCGTCTCAGCCAGAAGCCCTGAGGTCTCTGAGGCCTCCACCCCTCTCAGATGGGAAGATGGGCAAGACTCTTCCCCGGTCCCAGCATGGTGGCACAGGCTTCTCACCCCAGCGCTCCGGGAGGCTGAGGCAGGGCGGTCACGAGTTTGAGCCCAGCCTGGGCAGCCTAAGAACAGGGAGACCCTCTCTTGGTATAAAAAAGGCTGGGAGGTAGTTGAGCGTGGAGCCCCCAGTGCCACAGAAAAACAGGACCCGGCACAGCCGCAGGCAAGCTTTGCCTTGTGGGTTTGTGGGTGCCGCCCACCCAGCAGGCGAGCGTGGTGAGGCACAGGCGCGGCCTGCAGTGCCGAGTGGACCCGGCCCCGGAGGGTTTGGGACCAGAGCCGCAGGAGAGGAGACATCCTAGGAGGCCAGGGCCATCGGCTGCGCGCTTTGTAGGGTTTGGGGCTTCTCGGGAGCCTGCTTTGCACCCCGTGAGCACTGCACTCATGGCTGGGCCGGGCTGGGCGCCTCCTGAGCCCCGCCGAGCCTGCCGTGTGGTGTTGCAGCGACATCCTGCGGCTGGACTCCACCAACGCCGACGCGCTGTACGTGCGGGGCCTGTGCCTCTACTACGAGGACTGCATCGAGAAGGCCGTGCAGTTCTTCGTGCAGGCGCTCAGGATGGCGCCCGACCACGAGAAGGCCTGCGTGGCCTGCAGGGTGAGTGCTGTGGCCCAGAGGTGACCGGACCGCGTTGTTGGTGCTTCCGATGCCTCCCTGGGGGCCTGGGTTTCTTCTCTTCTCCCCCTCAAGAAAGCGAGTGATGCCCCCGAGGCTTGTGCTGCAGCGAGATGGGGACCTAGGCTTCCTGGACGCACACCACCCCTTTGCTCTTCCCCGCAGAACGCCAAAGCCCTTAAAGCAAAGAAGGAAGATGGGAATAAAGCGTTTAAGGACGGGAACTACAAGTTAGCGCATGAACTGTACACAGAAGCCCTGGCCATAGACCCCAACAACATCAAAACAAACGCCAAGCTCTACTGTAATCGGGGGACAGTCAACTCCAAGGTGAGCGCGCGCCCTGGCGTGGGACAGCGGGCACAGGGCGGGGTGCTGCCCTGTGGAGGTGGCACCCTCAGGTTCAGGGCCTGCTCTTCCCAGGGCCTCCCCTCCAGTGGGCGCGTGCGGAGCTTCGGGGGATTTAGACGCAGTGCGCCCTCCCACGTAGCTGGTGTCGCCAGCGTGGCCGAGGAGGCCCGTGCCCCCCCGAGCCCAGCAGTTAGATCTTGCGGTCATTCTCAGCAGGCGGAGGCCCAGGCGCCCATCCAGCTGTGCCGGGCTGACGTGGGGTGGCTACGGCCATCCGGCCATCCCCTCGGGTGCCTGCCTGGCTTGCAGAATGGAGTAGCCAGGCTAGCTGGGCAGTGGTCTCCACACTTGGCCGTGGCTCGCTCGCTCGCTCGGTGACTGCTCACTCTCTCCTGAAGCTCAGGAAGCTGGATGAGGCGATCGGGGACTGCACGCGGGCCGTGACCCTCGACGACTCGTACATCAAGGCCTACTTGAGGAGAGCGCAGTGGTGAGTGTGGCGCTGCCGGCCGGCCTGCCGGGGGAGTGGCACCGTGACGACCGCAGACCGGGCGTGGCGTGAGGTCATTTGGTCCTTCCCTGCTCTAGGTGGGACTGCTCCGGCCTAGCCCGTCTTTATGGTGCGGCGAGGAGGCTCCCGAGCCTGCTCTAACGCCCGCGCTCCGTAAGTGTCCTCCCCAGCGTCCCCCGCATCTCGGAGCTGCGCGTGTGCGGCCCACCTCGCCCTCCCTTGGCACCGTGCTCGGCACGTGGGTACTCGCGACTGTGCTGAGCTGGGCGTCCGGCGCTGGCCGAGGAGGAACAGGGTTCCCCTTGGACACAGCCGAGGCCTGCACTTTCGCTGGCTCTGTGCACAGCAGCCGGGACCCCCCTGAGAGCCCTGGTCTCGCCTGCCCCAGGGCCCAGTTCGCCCCGTGGCCGGGCATTCTCTTCAGGGAGGATCAGTGTCCGCAGGAGGGCAAGACCCATCCTGGGAGGGCAGGTTTGCGCACCGTGCTGTGTGACACCATCAGCTCGGACCGGGTCCGCTGCCCACCAAGCAGGGGTTCGAGCTCTAGACCGCCGCCCGTCATGTCAGGCGCGATTGTCACACTAGCTAGGAGGGCGCTGCGTTGTGGTGCAAGCTTCGGGATGGACCTGGGGGCTGAGCCATCCCAGGACATGGAGTCCGTGGTCTGAGAGGCGGCCTTGGCGCGGCCCGCCTTCGCTCACCACCGGGGATACACGCAGTAGCTGTGGGGACAGAATCTGTCCTTTGAGCCAGCCAGAGATGGGCTGCGACAGACACGAAATGCTGTGGGGTCGGCTGCAGCCTCACTGAGGCGGTGGGAAGGGGAGGCCAGTGACCGACCCAGTGGGAAGGACGCCGTCTGGCGGGAAGCAGCAGGGAGCCCTGGGTTGTTGCGTGGGTGGGAAGAGTCGGGGCAGAGGCTGGTTCTCTTCTTCTCTGTGTGCAGAGCATGTCTCATCTCGGTGCCTTTCTTGTTGCTGGGACAAATGCCCAGCACCCCCAGGTGGGGAGGAGAGGTTTCGGTCCGTTGTCAGCTGCTGTGAGACAGGGTGGCCGGGCAGAGGAGCAGCAGCTCAGGGCATGGTGGGCAGGAAATGGGCCCACACCATGCCCCGGCACCTCTCCAGCCAGACTTCGCCTCCCAGCCTCACACCCTTCAGTGCCTCCCACCCCAGGGACCAGTGTAGCTGTGGGAACCACTGTGCTGCAGTCCCCTCCAAGCCCCCGTGAGCCCACGCTGGTCAGGGACAGATCCAGAGTGTCACAGTCAGCAACTCCTTCCTCCCTGCTAGCCACAGAGGTCCTTGCGGTGCTCTGCCTTGTGACCACCTCAGGGACCCGGCACTGGCTGGCCAAGTGTGGACAGGGCACACTGGGCCCTGTGGATGCTGGGCACACCTCCTGTCATGAGTGGAGCCCCTGCTCCCAGAAGCCCCACTTACTCTGCTACTTGTCTTCGGCGTTTAAAACATTTTAAAATGGCCCGGGGATTTAGCTCAGTGGTTCCAGCGCCGGCCTCACAAATGTAAGGACCTGAGTTCGAGCCCCAGTACCCCCCCAAAAAAACCCAAAACATTTTAAAATCTAAGTTGGGCACGGAGCTCCCATCTGTGTTCACAGCAATCTGGGAAACTGAGGCAGGGGTTGGCAAGCTCAAATTCCATCCAGGCAACTTAGAAACTTAGCAGGACTTCGTATTCGTGTGAAAAAGACAACTGGGGATATAGCTCACTGCAAAGATCTTAGGTTCAAACCCCAGTGCTACGAAAAGGAAAAAAGAAAAGGTGGAATGTACCTTGAATCTTAAGGCACATGAAATTAGCGCAGTATGGCTTGTTCCTGGGCTGGAGACCCTGAGCCTCTTCCCTCGCCCAGCCCCCAGCACCGGCTCCCTGTGGCCTCAGTGGCCTGGCCACTGGTGTCTGCTGGCAGGGGGGCCGGCTAGACTGGCACTCGTGGTGTGTCGGTGCCGTGGTGTCGCCAGCCTCGGCAGGAGCCGTGCCTCTGTAGGGTGCACCACGCCCCAGCCAGCCCGCCGTCCCCTGGCTGCCCTCTGTCCTGGCCCAGGACCCCTTGGCATCACGCTGCCCATGGCTCCTCACGCTCACCCATCACCACCTCACGTGGAGGGGCCCTGATGCCTGCCAGTGGCTGCCACCTCACGCACCCTCCTGGCAGCTCCTGGCCCCTCTGCGCTGCCCGCTACTCCCAAGACGTGGCTGTCCCGCCCTGGTGTGAGGCAGCTCCGCACAGCACAGACCATGGTCCTTACGGCTCGGCAAAGCAGCTCTTCGCTGCGAGCCTCTTCCCCTCAGGGTCCCAAGCCTGAGTGCCCCGCCTGTGTTCCTTCTAGTTACATGGACCTGGAGCAGTACGAGGAGGCCGTGCGGGACTACGAGAAGGTCTACCAGACAGAGAAGACGAAAGGTGAGGGGAGCTTGGCAGCCCGGTGTTCCGGGCAGCGGGCGACAGGGACCTGAGGGGCAGGCAGTCAGCCAGCCATGTCCTCCGCTGCCCGTGTCCCCAGAACACAAACAGCTCCTGAAGAACGCACAGCTGGAGCTGAAGAAGAGCAAGCGGAAAGACTACTACAAGATCCTGGGGGTGGACAAGAACGCCTCGGAGGACGAAATCAAGAGAGCCTACCGGAAGCGGGCCCTGATGCACCACCCAGGTGGGTGGCGGGGTGGTGTCTTCACCCTGCCCACCCCAGGGCCTGCCTGAGTGCTGCCTTCCTCCCTGCAGATCGGCACAGCGGGGCCAGCGCCGAGGTGCAGAAGGAGGAGGAGAAGAAGTTCAAGGAGGTGGGTGAGGCCTTCACCATCCTCTCGGACCCCAAGAAGAAGACGCGCTACGACAGTGGGCAGGACCTGGACGAGGAGGGCATGAACATGGGCGGTGCGTCGGCCGGGCCCCAGGAGCCTGCACGGGGACGCTCAGTGGCCACACAGCTGCCCCAG